TGGTGGAGTCACCAAGCCTGGCAGTGTTCAAGAAACGTGCAGATGAGGCACTTAGAGACATGGTTTAACAGGGATGTGGTGATGGGTTTATGGTTGGATCTTGAAGGTCTTTTCCAATCATAATGACTCTATGATTCTATTTAACTCAGGTAGACTTCAAACTTGCTCACAGAGCAAGGCAGACCTCCGTGGGATGAGGAAAGGACAATTTCTTCTAAGCGAGCAGATCTTGACTCGACATAGAGAGCTCACTACTGTTTTCACCAATCTAAGGTCCTTTGTGCTCACCGTATCCATTGAAACAACATCACATACAAAATCTACAAGACATAGCATACAAGAGAGCACCACATTTACATGAAATGCACCAACTCAGTAGCTCACTATGACGGTTTACTCTAAAAGGTCAAATCATACTCCTGTTTATTCTCTCCACTGGCTTCTGTTCAGCTGTGAGGCTTTTTCACAGTATGTGGCCTCTTTTAGGTTGCATTCTGTAACTTAGGAATAAAATGTCTGTCAGTTCCCCCAAAAGTCTTTTCTGGCATCTCACAAAAACAAACTGCCATTGTTGTAGACCATAGCAGCTTGATTTCTTCTAGCTTTAGCCAGGAGTTTCATGAACCACAATTATACTTGCTGCTGCCACGAGTCAAAAGTATTTTCAATCTACCTCTTAGACAACTTTGGACTGAACAGAAGGAGCCTAGGGAAGGAGTCATATTTTCTATGTGTATATATATATATGTATATATTTATGTATTATGTATATGTTTTCTATCCATTATTCTCACTAAAGATTCTACGTGAGTAGATCCAGAACAACTACAGGTTTTTCTTTTGCTAATGCTAATTCTTACTCCTAGAAAGCAGCCAGTTCTGCAGTTATCCCTATTTTTAATATTTATTTAAACACACACATATATAAGTATATTAAAATATGAATATCACAGAGCTGGCTGTTTTTTAAAGAATAAGAATATATGTGTACATGTACACTACACAGAAGTCTTTTTTGTTCTAGTAACACTCCACTTTTGGCTAAAAGACACAGGCCAAATTAGAGTATAAATAATAGAGACACTTATATAAAGTCAACTTGAGTTAAATTCAGAAAATCACAGAAGTAATATATCAATAAGTATACCAGGAGCACCTCATAAGATAAGTCTTCACAACTGAATGTAGAACTGAAAGTCTGTATACTGAAAAAGAAGACTATCCTCTCTTCAAAATGGCATTTCCGTTCTTACTTTGGAAGCAAAGTTGAGTAACAGAATTTACATTAAAATCAGGTCTTGAATAATTTCCATATCTGTAATAAATTATAGAAATTAAAGATCTGAAAAAAAAAATCACAAATTTTATTATTAACTAACAGCCATTAAAAAAAAAGTTCCTAAACAGAGGAAAGAGCATTTTGAAACACCTTTTTCTTTTTCCTTCTTTTGGATTCCCAAATAAAGTTATGATTGGGATGCAGTGAATCCAAGGTGGCACATTTTAAGGGTATTCAAAAAATTAAAGTGGCATTCAACCTTTCTTTAAAGTTGAGGTCTTCAGACCACAAGTCCTGTAATGAACCATATCTCCCTGGTCCCTCTCCATTTACCTTTTCCCCTGCGTTAAAAGCCTGATGGATACCAGATTTTCAACTGTTACCTATCAGCATTACTGCATTAAATTTACTTGAAATCATGAAGACTTTTATTAGTTGAAAATTTAATAAAGAGATTCAAAGAATCTTTGCAAGAAGTACAGAAAGTTTGTATATAACTACCCACAACCAACTTCATGACTGCTATTAATGATTTTTTGTTTTTGTTTTAACCTATGAACATTCCTGATGCAAAAACTACTATTGTTTGTATAAATTTTAAAGATACGAGTCTGCTTGAGGTGCAGTTAGACAAGATAATAGTTCATAGTAAATAGTTCATAGTAAATAATAGTCCATAGTAAAATGGACACCAGAAGATGAACTCAAACTGAAGATCCTAGAGTACTACAATCTCTGTTGAACTTCAGCTTGAGAGCTTAGAAGAGATGAACCTCTAGGCACAGTACAAAACTGTTCAAGCTCTCAAAGGATGCAATTTTAAGGACAAGTTTACAAAGAGCAATTTATTTAAGAAATTTAAGAGCAGACCTGTCTTCTCTCTCAATATACTTCCATATGCTACCCATAAGACAATTTATCAAAAGACCTCTCTTCTATAAAATGTAATAGAGAGCTCTTAATACCTAACATGGCAGCCCCCCTTCTAATGAATTGCATATTTGAGGAAAAAATAACTCCCCCCTCACCCCTCCACCTAAAAAAGTTTTATCGCTTACCACAATAATTACATTTTCTGTTGGAAAAGGTTGAATGTGGAATTTGGAATCAGAAGTCAGGTACTGACATTTCAAAAATAGCTATATAAACTCTATTTTAAGCAGAAAGCATAATGAAATCATAACTATAGGGCTCTTATGGATGTCTCCAAAATAGATAAGCCCCAAATGAAAATGTATATCTACAAAGTGTCTAACGAGAAACCTAAGAAGTTCTTATATAAAAGGAATATGATTGGAACTCTTCCAGTCAGCTTCCTCCAAGGAGAAATCTGAGAGGCACAACCCTAAACTGCAAAAACGGGCACTAGAAATCAGAGTGAAAAGAGAAATGTCTGGAGATACCTTCTTGAAGGACCCTTGGTGAAGAGTTACACTGAACTTTCTCTCTACATCATTCTACATCATCTTGGCAAACTGCAGTACCACTGTGTGACCCTATTTGAATTTCAGGAACCCTCTCTCAGCATCTATCTCAACAGTTGTCTACACACTTCTTCCCTATTAATTAATCCTTCTGGAAAAGGGAAATCATACAAAATGTGTTCACTATGAATCACAAAGTTGCAAAGTGGACAATTTTAGCATGTTTTAAATCTAAGTGTATAGCCTTTATAGCCTTAAGAAGAGTTCTTCTTCATTCTGCATGCACCACAAAACAGACTTGTTCCACACAAACTGAGCAAACATAAGGAGGAAACGAACGATCAAATATCTTCAGAGAAATTTCATGCAATGGAGTTGGGCACCCGCATGCTACTGAGAAGTTAAGCTGTGGTGCCTGGAAGCAGCAGGAAGCACTACAAAGCGGATAAAAACAGAGACTGATACAAAATGGCAACTCTTCTTGCTTCCCAGGGCGAGACACGCTGAGAACGCAGCAGAGGAGGAATGTAGAGGCAGGAGGAAAACAGGGGAGTATTAATTTCATGCAGCACAATAGTGCTAGGAATAGCTCTAGGCCAAGATGATAAACACAGTAGCCAGAAAGCATGCTCCAAGAGCTGACACAGCACAGTTTGTCACAGCAGGCTAGTCCACACGCTTCCCAAATGCTACTTTTCCAGATAGCTGATACTGTAAGCTATGTATTAGTGATGAAAGCTCATATTAAGAAATCTCATTATATTTAGAAAGTCTTTAAAACCAAGTAAGTGCTGTTTTATCTTCTGGTAAGAATTTTATAGTTCAGCCATAAAATCTCAGTTTGTGTCAGGAAGTGTAAGAAGTTTCATGACAGCCTAAAATACAGTAGAGCGTCCCATGGTATTTTATTTTCATTTCTTTCAACATTGCAAATTATACTTTAGAGACCTCAAAATTCATTCTCTTTTATTAACTGCTAAAATGAAGGATTATTCCTTAAAAAAGAAAAAGATTCTAAAAGGTGTTTCACTGCTGGACTTTACAGCAAAGGAAGAGTAACTCAGTGTCAAAACGCCACACTAGGTTTTCTGTCTTCTGCTTGGGGAAAGGTAAACTTCTCCTGCTCTTTTTTTACTGCATGTGGCAGTGCCCCTTAGCAGAAACAGCTCATGGAAGTACCATTTTGCTACGCGGTACACTATCAGGAGACAAGTCAGTAGGATTCAAACTATATGCACAGCGAAGAAACCTTACTTAAAACAGAGGAATTCAGAGGACACAACACCCCTTTGTCTTCCACCCAGCTTTTTAAGAACTTGTTACCATGTCCCTAAATTAATCCAATTTACGTTATATGCAGATGTACTGCAGCATGCAGATGTGAGAATATGTAATATTTTGACTTTTAAAAAAATATTCTTATGGTACTTTTTAACAACTGGGTTTTCATTTTCAATTTCATTAAAAAAAAAGTTTAATGGGCTCAGTATAAGCAAGCTGACATTACTCTGGATGGAAATGGCATTTGATTTCCGGATGCACTTCCAAGAACCTTAAAAGCAGTCAATGATCAGCTGAGAAAAAGTAATAATTCACCCAATGCAGTTCAGGAAGAGATAAGATTTTTAAAAAGGCTATTTAGCTCTTTATCTGCAATTTAAAATTATTTTCTTCTAACCAAAATTTTCCTTAGGAAAGCCATTGCTCTTAAACTGCAGAAAAAAATGAAGCACTATCTGTATTATTTATTTTAAAATCTCTCCACTATTTCAACAACCTGCACCAATTCACTTGCTTGAACATTTTTTCATTATAGGTTGCCAGCCATATCTCTGTGTTTAGGATAAGCTTTACCAGTCAGATGTAATAAGTGCATAGAACTGATGGGCTACTTATTTCAGTCTGCTGAGTAGATACCACTTGAAGTGAAAAATCCACTATCTACTATAGTGACCAAATACAGTCTTAAGTAAGATTTCAATCACAATTAGCTCTCTATCTCCCAAATCTCTTCATTGAGATTTGCAAAACAGTAGTTTATTATTATCTTAGGAAGCAGAATTTAATTACATTTCAATTAATTTAGCATCGAGCATCTTCACACACTTCTAACTCAACTCTGAACACAGCATTTAGAAAGAAGCTAGAAATTTCTGAAGACAGTTTGACTTTGGTACCAAGAGAAAGCAATGCTGACATACATATATTCTTACATATGGTCATACATATATTCATACCTTTATCTGTATGAGTCATATTCAATACTCAATAGATTAGAACTCTTTTGTAAAGGATACAAGGATTGTTGTCATCAATGCTGCAGTTGTCCAGGATCAAGGGAATGCCATCTAACTGATAAACCTAAATAAAAAGAAAAGCTTAATTTAATATAAGTCTCAACAATACTGATGTTTTATGCAAGAAGAATTTTTAAAAAATAACAGGGATGCTGTCTTTGCCAAAATATTAAAGACGTGTTAAAATCAATTGCAGAGTGCAACTGGTATTCTGAACAGTAAGAATCACATTCCTTTTTCTTCTTCTAGTATGTGCAAATTAGATATCTTCTATTAAACTTCTGTCAAATGACTCTCAATAAGAGCCAGAAAAGCTATACTTACTGATAGCAAGCACCTGTTTTCTTTAAGAATCGTAAACAGCTATTGAGTAAAAAAAAAGTCAGTAAAAGGTTGTAAAATGCACACACACACAGAGCTGCTAGCTGCATCTTCTGTATCTTCTGCTGCAGGAAACCTTCAACAGTTACCTGTACGTACTAGGTACAGGTCTTTAACTATACCACACAGCAACCATTGATTTTTTCCTTTTATATGGATCTTTAATATGTTATTGGAAAAACAGCAAAGGTAAAGTCTGTCACTTTTCATTTTATATATACATGAACCCAAATGAACTCCCAAATGAACTCCCAAATGACAACCTAAAAACATACACGTGTATGAAATAACAGCATATAATGCTAAGGACTTGTACATGCATATGAACACACATCGCTAACTCCCTAGAACAAGCTGAAGTTAACAACAGATATGTAGCATAATTATATTAAGAAGTATAAATTGTATAAGAAATCAATCTATTATCTTAGGATCCACTGTAGGACATTACATCACAATGTGTTTTTACAGCTTTAGAAGTATGGTACATATTTAAATAAAAACCTGCTCTATATTACCCGTGAATCTTCAGCCTTTGCAATATCTTAAAGCATATAGGCATTTGATGTCTTTTGGTAATGAAAGCAATGCTATTTTAAAGACCTGAGAGCTTTCAACTGATTATATTCTTATAGACAAACCATACTTCTTCAAAAACTTGAAAGTGTTGGCAAACACTTACTGCATCGTCTTGCTGTGTATGCCAGACAACTCTAATCCCTCCTCAGAGATACCCACAAAGCGCACTCTGAAATCTCTGATTCACAAGCAATGATAGATGAGGAACTCCTCTATCCAACTCCTCCAGTAGCCAGGAGCTTTACTTTGACCCCACTTTGGACTTTCGCAGCTCAGCAAAGGACCAGCCCAACTGTTCCAAGAACCACTGGGTGATCCACCAAAACTACCTTTCACCGTAACGTAAATTCCACGTTGGTGTATCGCAATAGTCCAGGCTGCAGGGAACCGATTCAGTGATTACTGGGCATGTAGCTGAACTACTTCTGCCACTGGAGTGCAGTCGGTAGTAATGGGAAGAAATAGCTATAGCTGCCCCACTTACGTGTGGAGAGTCTCCCAGGTCTCACTGGCATTAACCTGAAGCACAGTTACCCTAACCGCTCGCACAAACAGATTTTTGTAAGTATCAAGGAACCATGGTCCTAGGCCCCTTGCTCCCTTATACATATTTATTAGAACTATACTGTAATAAAAAGGAGCTTGTGATTTTTCCAAGAACTGGTCTTAAAAGTTTTCTCTCCAAAGAGCAACGTCTGAGAAATGCCCAGCACAGAGTAGGGCTGTGCATCCTCTGCAGAAATGTTCTGAGCTGACTGGGAAGGAGTCAACATTCTGCAGGACCTCAAATCTCTCCTTAAGATGGAAAAAAATCATGCAAACAAAACATGTAATGACTGATGTGAGACTGCCTGTAGTCTGTCCAGATTTTGAAAAAAAAAATACAGGCAGAAACTCAGGAAGGAGAGAGATATGATCTCTTTCTTATAAACACTTCTATTGGCCTGCATAAAAAGATGACTAATGAACCTTATTCTCCATTTTTACGCTACTTACAACAGAGATGACCAATAACAAAGAATTGCTCTGGGCTGCAAAAACACCAATTTTTTTTTTTTTTATAAAAACTACAATACTTTATTCTGAACTACATATAGATTGCGGGCTGAAATCTTGTCACATGTAAGTTGACTAAAATAAGTTACCTAAATTTTAACACATACAGCTGTGTGCTAGTGA